GTTTTCCGATCTCAGATGCAAGTAGTGCGCCTCGGTGAGGCACAGTCACATATCAGGCCGGGCCCGGCTTGAGCCAGGCACGGCAGCGGTACATGCTCGATTTATACCTCGCCTTTAACCTTCTCCGTTTAAAGTCAAGAGGCCTCGAAGATCACCCCCAAAAGGGCCCCAAGACGCAAACAACATTGAGTTTTCATTAGTTTTTGCAGGATTTTCGCGTTCTCGCCATTTCGGTTTACCCACGCTCCAAGACGGCCCAAGAGGCCCCCAAGATCGCCCCAGGACAGCCCAACAAGCCCCCAAGAGGGCTCCAAGACAGCGCAAGAGGGCCCCAAGACGGCCCAAGAGGCCCCTGGCACGGCTCAAGAGGGGCCCCAGGACGGCCCCAAGAAAGCGCCCAGAAGGGGAACCCGAATGAACATTTCAAACGTTCGGTCCCAAGAGGACCCCAGGAGGCTCTAAGAGGCCCCCAGGAGGCCCCCAAGAGGCTCCAAGAGAGCCCCAGGAGGCCCCAAGAGGGCCCCAAGAGGCTCCCAAGAAACATCCAGGAAGCCCCCAAGAGGCCCCTAAACTCTCGCGCAGTGGCCCCCGAGGGCCCTCTCGAGAGACCCCAAGAAGTGTCCATGAGGACTCCGACCCAAAACCCAAGCACGGTGGCGGGATGGGCCGACTGCCATTTGATCCGCCGCCCCCTTTTGATTTATCAAAGGGGTGCCTTGCGTGCTGGATGATATGGCTTTTGGTTTTGGTTTCTTTTCCAAAAGAACTCCCGCTGGGGCTTCGGCCCGTCCCGCCGGCCACCCGGAAACTGCACAAGTCAATGCCTGCTCCGCCCCAAGATGGCCCACGATGGTCCCAAGACGGCCAAAATGGCTCAGGATGGCCTCCAATATGCCTCCAAGACAGCCAAGATGGCCTGCAAGACGGCTAAGATGGCCCCAAGATGCATCCAAGACGGCCCAAGATGGCCTCAAGATGGTCTAAGACGGCCCAAAAGGCCCGCAAGAGGCCTCCAAGACGGCCCAAGAGGCTTCCAAGAGGTCCTCCAGCAAGGCCCGAACAGGCCAAAATCATTATTTGTCCTTAGGTGTTTAAAGGATTTTTGGAATTTGCGCCTTTCTGGCTGTCCGACGGCCCGAGACGGCCCAAGAGGCCCCCAAGATCGCCCCAAGATCGCCCAAGAGGCCTCCAAGAGGGCTCCATGACGGCCCAAGTGGCCTCGAAGACGGCCCCAAGAGGGCCCCAAGACGGCCCCGAAGCGCCCCAAGATGGCCCCAAGTCGGCCTAGAAAGGCCCCCAAGACGGCTCCCGACGGCGTCAGACGTGCCAGGAACCGACCAAGATGGCCGAAGTTGGCTCGAAGCCAGCCCAAGACGGCCCAAGAGGCCCCCAAGAGGGCCTCCAGGAAGGCCAGAAGAAGCCAAAACCTTGATTTTCCTAAGGTGTTTGACGGATTTGAACTTTTGTGTTTTTCGGCCTCCCGACGGCCCGAGACGGCCCCAGAGCCCCCAAAGATCGCCGAAAGATCGCCCAAGAGGCCTCCAAGATGGCCCCAGAACGGCCCAAGAGGCCCCCAAAACAGCCTCAAGAGGCCCTCAAGACGGCACAGGAGGCCTTTAAGACGCCCAAGATGGCCTCCAAGACGGCCCCGGAGCATTCCAAGAGGGCCCCAAGTCGGCCCATAGAGGCCCCCCAAACGGCTTCCGACGGCGTTAGACGGACCAGGAGCCAACCAAGACGGCCGAAGATGGCCCTAAGATGGCCCAAGACGGCCCAAGAGGCATCCAAGAGGGCCTCCAGGAAGGCCCGAAAAGGCCAAAATCATTGATTTCCCATGGGTTTTTGGAAGGATTGTGGCATTCGTGTTTTTTTTCTGCCTTCCGACGGCCCGAGACGGCCCAAGTGCCCCCAAAGATCGCCCAAGAGGCCCAAGACACGGCCCCAAGAGGCCCCAAAGACGGCCCAAGAGGCTTCCAAGACGCTCAAGATGGCCTCCAAGAAGGCCCAAAGAGCCCTCCAAGACGTCCTCCAAGAAGGCCCGAAAGAGTCAAAATGGCCTCCAGACGGCCAAGATGACCTTCAAGATGCCCACGTGTTCCCCGAAGGCTTTCCAAACCGATTCGGGGAACACATGGTCCGATAGCTTGGCAGGTCTGGCCTCAACGTTCGGCCACATAGGCGCTTCCAAAAAGGCAGGGGGCGGCGGTGATTCGCCGTAGGCGTCTTCGATAGCTGGCATACGCGTCGCGTCACGACTTTCGATGCTGCGCACCACTTCGGCAAACTCCCAGGGAGCGGCCGGTGATGCGCCGCCGGCGTCCTCGATACTCAATTACGCTCCCGCCCTGCGGTGTGGGCCGTGCGAGACATCTCTGACAGAGTGTTTGGCACAGTCTTTGGCCCTATTCGCCAGTGCCTGGTCAAAAACCTCCCTGAAAGTACCTCCGAGGGGGCCCCATTCTGCCGCCGGCCCCTCCCCGACCTCAAGGTCTCAAACGGCCCGGGGACGACCTAAGGGAACCCCAAGCGGGTTTTAGAGAGTCCAGAGCAGTCCACGAGAGCCTCCCGACGGTTGCAGATCGCTCCAAGAAGCCAAGATGGCCTCCAGAAGGCCCAAGACGCCTCCAAGACGGCCCAAGACGGCCCAAGAGGCCTCGAAGAGCACCCCCAAAAGAGCCCCAAGACGCAAAAAACATTGATGTTTTCAATGGTTTTGCAAGATGTTCGCGTTCTCGCCATGTCGGTTTACCCACGCTCCAAGACGGCCCAAGAGGCCCCCAAGATTGCACCAGGACGGCCCAACAAGCCCCCAAGAGGGCTCCAAGACAGCGCAAGAGGGCCCCAAGACGGCCCAAGAGGCCCCCGGGACGGCCTAAGAGGGGCCCCAGGACGGCCCCAAGAGGGCGCCCAGAGGGGGAACCCGAATGAACATTTCAAGCTTTCGGTCCCAAGAGGCCCCCAGGAGGCTCTAATGGGCCCCAGGAGGCCCCCAAGAGGCTCCAAGAGAGCCCCAGGAGGCCCCAAGAGGGCCCCAAGAGGCTCCCAAGAAGCCTCCAGGAAGCCCCCAAGAGGCCCCTAAACTCTCGCGCAGTGGCCCCCAAGAGCCCTCTCGAGAGACCCCAAGAAGCGTCCATGAGGACTCCGACCCAAAACCCAAGCACGGCGGCGGGATGGACCGACGGCTATTCGATAGCTGGCATACGCGCCGCGTCACGACTTTCGATGCTGCGCACCACTTCGGCAAACTCCCAGGGAGCGGCCGGTGATGCGCCGCCGGCGTCCTCGACACTCAAGAAATATTCCAATATGGCCAGAAGTAATCAGAAAATCCTCCCCACACTATTTTTTGACTATCTTTGAAATTTTCTCCTGTAGAGGGACCGGCCCGACTAAGTAGGACCAAAGGTGCTGGGCATCTTGATTCGGGTCGGGTCGTCCGTCTAGGCGCAAAACTCTGGGGCGCCTCTTGGGGCTTGTTTTGTTCCCAAATCAGTTATTGCACTGAAGGGGTCCTAGCGGAAATTGGAAGATTTGGCGAAAAATTCCCGCCGATTTTGGTAGCCAGCTGGGTTCCGGGTTCTCGGTGCTGGGTTCCCAAACTCCTTTGGTTCCGGTCCGATTTCGGTGGGTTCCGGGTTCCTGGGATCCCGATCTCTTGATCCATCCCATTCCAAACCATGCACTGATTGGGGTTTTTCTCTGGTGTAATGTCCTATGGGGGTTATGGAAGGGTCTGGTGGGGTTCTCTTGCGACCCCGGTAGCGAGGTGAGGCGTGATAGCGCCAAGGACAAGGTGGCTGGTGCGTGGGGTGTCCAGGTTCGGCAGGGTCACATCGTTCGTTCGTCTGGGGACCTTGGTGAACTGCATCATGTGCCCTGGTGTTAGTTCTCTGGAAGCTGTCGTGGAAGCCTCTGGGCAAGTCCTGCCGGGACTCTGTTGGGCACTTTTGAGGCGGTTCAGAAAAATCGCCGGAATCCCTTGTGGGGGCTCTGGGGTCTCTCTTGGTCCGTCTTCGGGCTCGCTTGGGCCGTCTTGGAGCCCTCTGGGACCGTCTTGGGGCCCTCTTGGGGCCCTGTGAGACCGGCTCGGAACCTTCTGGGGCCGGCTTGGGCCGGCTTTGGGGCCTCTGTGACCCTTTGGGCCCTCTGGGACCGTCTTTGGGCAGTCTTGGAACCGACTCTGGGCTTTCTTGGGCCATCTTGGGGCGCTCTTGGGAGCCTCTGGGGCCGCCCTGGCACGATCTGGGAGGCCCCTGAGGCCGTTTGGGGCGGCCGAAGCCGATAAAAAGTGAGACCGCAAAAAAAAAAAAATCAAGGAATGCGGCTTCCAGAAGCGCTCCCTGGGAGTCTCTCGGGGCGGTCCTGGGGCGAGTGGGCGCCTCTTGGGAGGTGATTTGCCCATGTCAAACAGAAGCGAGTGAAGGGAGACAAGATGATCTCGAGGTCCTGTTGCGCTGCTCTACCTTCCAATCTCTTCGTTCGGGCCGCTCCAGCGTGCGAGGGGCAATAGGGAAGGACTGCTGCCCTCGCTGACTTCGCGGAACGCTCTTCACATCATCCTTATTATTCTCTTCTCTCCTCCCTCTTCGCACCGTCTCCCTGCGCCACCGGGGCCTCTCCGAAGGCTGCGGATGCGGCTCCGAAGGCCCGCCCAGAGCGGCGCGGGCTCTGGGGGGCCCCCTTAGACCGGCCTGGACCGGCCCGTGCTGCCCCTCCGTACAGCAGGAGCGGCGCTGGCTCCAGAGTGCTGCCTCCTCCTCCTCCTCCTCCTCCTCCTCCTCCTCCTCCTCCCTCCTCCTCCTCCTCCTCCTCCTCCCCTCCTCCTCCTCCTCCTCCTCCTCCTCCTCCTCTCCTCCTCCTCCTCCTGCCCCTCCTCCCCTCCTCCCCCTCCTCCCCCTCCCCCCCTCCCCCTCCCCCTCCCCCTCCTCCCAGGCTCTTGGACCGGCCTGGAGAGGACCGGTTTGCTGCCACCGCTCGCAATTTTCGCGTGCGCTGGCCGCGGTATCGTAGGGCTCCAGCTTCGCCCCCCGCATCTCGCTCAGCACGGCCAGGGCCCGCTGCTACTGCTCGTCCTTCACGCACGCGCTGATCCCAGCGGTGTAGCTGAAGACGTCGGGCTCCAGCTTCGCCCCCCGCATCTCGCTCAGCACGGCCAGGGCCCGCTGCTACTGCTCGTCCTTCTCGCACGCGCTGATCCCAGCGGTGTAGCTGACTAGGGCTGACCCGTGGACTCCGTCCACGACATCTTTCTGGAATGGTTCTCGGAGGAACGGCGCAGATTGTACCGAACATCTACAAAAACACGGCGGCGGCTCGGGCGGCGGCAGCGAGACCGCGCCTTCGTGTCCGAGCTCTTGCAGCGCTGCAGCAGCTTGGCCCAGCGCACTGCTCGTTCACCCCCCTCCTATTGAGGACAGTTTCGAAGTCCCTCGGGGATGTGCGTCGAAGTCGAAGCCCATCTGAGGCGTCTCAGGAGCGCTCGGGGAAGGGCTCGGGAGGCCATCGGGGAAAGCCACCGAAAGCGCCGGGGAGGCTCGCAAGGATCTACAGGGAGGGCCCAAGAGAGCTTCAAGAAAATTTGAAATCCAATGAACTCTTAAGAGAAACCGCTGTTGGGTCGGCCATCACCTCCGGGCGCGCCTTGATGGTGCGATCCAGTCGCATCACCGCCAACGGGAGGGTTTGTTCGCCATGTCCCATTCTGTTCGCCCAGAGGGTCTGTGGAGGCCTTCGGGCGAACAGAACGGGACAGGGCAAGGAATGGGGAAGACATGTCCGAATCTCCTGGGCCCCCCAGATGCTCGTCCGAAGAATGCGGAGAGGTCCCAGGGTCATATCAATTGGCTGCTGTCCCAGGGGTCCGGTCTGCTTGGCCCGAAGAGTTTGCCAAGGCCCCTGGGGGAACAGAATGGCACAGCATATCGGGCAAAGGGGGGCGGTAGCTGGCCTGTCAGACCCGGCGTTCGTCTTCTGCCCAAGCGGCGCGGGGCCCACGGGCCCCAGGGTTGGCGTCCCGCTGGGATTCCTCTTGTTCGCCCACAGGGTTGGAGGAGGCCTCCAGGCGAACAGAATGGGGCAGGACAATGAATGTGGGAGACTTGTCGCAAGCTCCCAGCCCCCCCAAGTGTGCGCCCGAAGGGTGTGGGGCCGCGTTGGCTCCCTCAAAGGGCCGTCTTGGAGCCGTCTAGGCCCGTCTTGAGGGCGCCGTGTGCCCTGATGGGGCCGTCTTGGTTCGTCGTGGGCCCGTCATGGGCGCGTCCGTAATTAGGCCGTCCTGGGCCCATCGGGGTCCTCGTGGGGCTGTCTTGGAGCCGTCTGGGACCGTGAGGAGGCCGCCTTGGAGTCGTCTTGGGCCCCTCCTGTGCGCCTCCTTGGGCCGTCCTGGGCCCAGCAGGGGCCGTGTTGGCACCCTCTTGGGGCTGTCTTGGAGCCGTCTTGAGCCGTCGCAGCGCGCCTTGGGTTGTGCTGGGTCCGTCTTGGCCCGTCTTGGGGCCTTCCTGGGCGGTTCCTCGGACCCTCCTGGGACTTTCTGGGGCCTCTTGGTGCATCGGACCGCCGAAACGGCGGGAAACGCAAAGGGTGTAACAGTAAACAATGGAAAATTAACGATTTTTGCCAGCTGGGACTCTCTTGCCATCTTGGCCCGTCTTGAGGCCCCGAACGGGCGCGTCCTTGGGCCGTCCTGGGCGCACCCTCCTGGGACCGTCTTGGAATCGTCTTGGGCCGTCTTGAGCGCGCCTTGGGCCGTCCTGGGCCGGTCTGGGGCCGTGTTGGCACCCTCGCGGCGAGGAAGCTCGGAGGCGGGCTCGAGGCCTCTTCGGGGCCATTTTGGAAGCTGTTGGGGCCTCTGTAGGGGCCTCGTTTGGGCTCCTTGGGAGCCTCCTGGGGCCTCTTCGGGGGATTCTTGGCGGCCCCTTGGGGCCTCTTGGGGGCCTGTTTGGGCCTCCTGGCGCCCTCTTGGGGCGGAAGGCTCGGATTTTCGGTCCGTGGTCCCCCTCTTGGCCCCCTCTTGGGCCTGTCTTCGGGCCCTCGTGGGCCGTCTTGAGCGTCTCTTGGGTCGTCTTGGGGCCCTCTTGGGCTGTCTTGGGGCGCTCTTGGAAACCTCTTGGGCCGTTCTGGGGCGCTCTTGGAGGCCTCTTGGGCCGTCTTCGAGCGTCGGAAAGCGGAAAAGGCGAGAAGGCCAAAATCCTTCCAAAACCGTCGTAAAGCGGACGATTTTGAGGCCCAAAACCGTCCAAAACCTCCTGAGGCGGTCCCCTCGTCCGCCCCCCTCGCTTCGAAGCAGTTTTTAAGCCCCGTGGCACCTCTTGGGGATCTCTTTTGGGCTCCTGGGGGCCTCTTGGGCCTCCACTGGATTCGCTGCCCTCGGTCGGCAATCGTCGATCCTACGACGACTCTCCCCAACGGAGAAACATCGAAGGCCCTCGGAGCGTCCAACATTGTTCTTTTGTGCCTTCGATATGCCGGTCGCCTCTCGTCCGCTCCCCCCCTCCTGGAAGCAATTCTGAGGCCACTTAGGGCTTCGTGGGGGCCGTTTGGGGATCTCTTGGGGCGTTTTTGCCTGCGATATGCCTGTCGCCTCTCGTCCGCTCCCCCGCTCCTGGAGGGAATTCTGAAGGCACTGAAGGCTTCGTGGGGGCCGTTTCGGAGCCTCTTCGGCCTTCTTTTGGGCCTCCCGGGGGGGCTCTTAGGGCCCTCTCGGGCCGTCTTGGGTGCCTCTTGGGCCGTCTTGGGGCCGTCTGAGACCCGCCTCGGCGCCTCTTGGGCTGTCTTGGGCCGTCTTGGGCCGCTCCTGGGGCCGTCTTGGGTGCCTCTTGGGCCGTCTTGGGCGCCTCCTGGGCCGTCCTGGGGCCGTCCTGGGGCGTCTTGGGACCGTCTGGGGGCCCTCCTGGCCCGTCTTGGGGCTCTCTTGGGGTCCTCTTCGGCCGTCTTGGAGCGGTCGGGGGGACTTCTTGGGCCGTCTTGGAGCGTCGGGAAGCCGAAGAGGCGAGGAGGCCGAAAACATCGAAAAACACAGTAGAAATCGACGATTTCTGTCGCTCGGGGCCCTCTTGGGAGGCCTCTTGGGAAGCCTCTTCGGGCGTCTTGGACGCCTCTTGGGCCGCCTGGGGCGAATCTCGGGCGTCTTGGGCCCATCTTTAAGCGTACCGGGGCTCTCCGGGGCCGTCTTGGGGGCTTCTGGGGGCCCTCCCGACATGTCCTGGAGCCTGCCTGGGCGGCCCGGGGCGGCCCGGGGCCAGCCCGGGGCGGTTTTGAGACATTGGAGCCTGCGCCCTTCTGGCACGCACTGGGCCCTGCAATATAGTAGAGACTAGGGCTGACCCGTGGACTCCGTCCACGGCATCTTTCTGGAATGGTTCTCGGAGGAACGGCGCAGATTGTACCGAAAATCTACAAACACGACGGCGGCTCGCCTCTGGGGCCTCTGGTGCCGTTCCCGGGCAGCCTCTTCCGGGGGACAGCCCAGGAAATCTACTGTGCTTGCGTGCTGTGCGTGCGTGCTCCTGTGTGAGAGGTCGGACGGGTGTCCCGACGTCACCGCTCGCTCTTGGGAGCTGTGCCTGGGAGAGCTCTCTACGCTGCGTCTCGCTCTTGGGAGCCTTGGTGAGAAGAGCTTTGCACTTCACCGATCGCTCTTTTAATGGGCGTCTCTGGGCCTGCTTGGTGGTCCTTGTGGGGGTCTTTTTCGGGCCATTCTGAGGCTTGTTTGGGCTGCTCTGGGAGCGTTTTGGACGCTTTGGGGCCATTTGGGGCCGTCACGGAGCGTCCGGGAGGCCTTGGACCGTCTTGGAGCTCTCTTGAGGCTGCCTGAGGCCGTCTTGGGAGCCTCTTTGGGCCCCCATCGGAGCTCTTTTGGGGCCGTTCTGGGGTTCTGTGAGGCCGTTTCAGGGCTCTCTGGCGTCGTCTTGGGACTCTTGTGGGCCGTCTTGGAGCCCTCTGAGGGGCCGCTGGCGTCTTCTTGGGGCGATTTGGGAGGCCTCTTGGCGTGTCCTGGGCTGCTGAGGAGCACACAACGCGGCCATGCTGAAAATATACGTCTTACAATAGGAACTAGACGATGTGTGCCTCTTTGGCGTGCGCTCGGGGCCCTCTTGGGGCGTATTTGCGGCCTCTTGGATCGTCGTAGAGCCCCCCCCGGAAGGCTTCGGGTCCGCGTGGGCCGTCTCGGGACCCACTGAGGCCGTCTTGGATCGCTCTTGGACGGTCTGGCAACCCCTCTGGAGCGCCTCTGGGACCGGCCTGAGCGATTCGGCCCCGTGGTGGCGCCGTAAACGGGCGATTTTGTGCACGTGAGGCCCAGAGAGCTTCTCGCACGCGCTTCCACTGGCCATGTAGGAGAGAAGACGTCGGGCTCCAGCTTCGCCTCCCGCATCTCGCTCAGCAGCGCTAGGGCCCGCTGCCACTGCTCGCCCTTCTCGCACGCGCTGATCCCAGCGCTGTAGCTGACTAGGGCTGACCCGCGGCCTTCCGGCCGCGGAATCTGCCCGCCATGGCGTGGACGTGGAAGTGGAGCGTCTCTGGGGCCTCGCAGGTAAGGGGAGGTTGGAGGGGACGGCGTGGATGGAGGAGGTGGCCGCTGGAGGTGGAGGTGGCCGAGGAGGGATACAGGCAAGCGAGTGATAACTTTATCTGGTAGTGTGGTGGCAATGGGGCCGGTGGGCGCGGTCTAGGAGGCCCACAAGAGGGCGGCGAGACGGCCCAAAAGGTCTCCAGGACGGGCCAAGAGGCTCTGAAGGCCCCACGAACTCCCTAAGCCGGGCCCCAGTGCGAGGACACGAATCTACCTTTCGAGCGCACCGCCCCAAGACGTCCCCAACTGGCGCAGAGATGGCTCCCAGAGGGTCCAAGAAGCTCCCAAGACGACGCTGGAAGTTCGACGCTCCCCAGGAGAGAAACATCCAAGGCCTCTTAGGGGCCGTTTGGGGGTCCTCTTTTCGTCCTCCTGGGAGTCTCTCGGGGCCCTCTTGGGCAATCTTGAGTGCCTCTTGGGCCGTCTTGGGGCGATTTGGAGCCGACTTGGGCGCCTCTCGGACCATTTGGGGCCGTCTTGGGGCCATCTTGGGCCGATCTTGGGCTTTCTTGGGGCTGTCTGTCTTGGGTGTTTCCGGGGCCGTCCCGGGCGCCTCTGGAGCCGTCCCGGACGGCCCACAGACCGTCTTGGAGACTGTGCAGACGGAAAGGCTTGGAGACGGGGCGGCAGGGGCCTCTACAGCCGTCTTGGTGTCACCCTGGGGCCGTTGTGGGCGCCTCTTGGGCTCTCTTGACGCCCTCTCGGGCCGTTTTTCGTGCGTCTTGGGGGCCTCTTGGGCCGTCTTGGGGCGGTCGTGGGGACCTTGAACCAGCTTCTGCGCCATACTCCCGACAAGCAGCGCATGCTGAACTTGAACGTTTTTCTTCGGGAAAGCAGTGATTTTCGCCTCTGGGGGCCATCCTTGGACGCCTCTTGGGCGTCTCTGGGGCCGTCGTGGAGGCGCCGTCTTGGGTTTGTTTTCGGCGGTCTTGGGCTCTCTTGGAGCGCTCTTGGGCCGTCTTGGGGGTGTCTGGGGCTGTCCTGGGCGCCTCCTGGGAGCCTCTTGGGGCCGCCTGGGGGCCGTGTTGGGCGCCTCTTGGGTCTCTTGACGCTCTCTCGGGCCGGTTTTCGTGCCTCTGGGGGGCCTCTGGGGCCGTCTTGGGGCGTTCGTGGGGACCTCTTGTCCCATCTTCTGCGCCATATGCCCGACAAGCAGTGCATGCTAAAATTTGACATTTTTCATTGGAAAAACAATGATTTGGGCCTGTGGGGGCCATCCTGGGACGCCTCTTGAGCGTCTCTGGGGCCGTCGTGGAGGCCTCCTGGGCCTTGTGGGGGCCGTTTTCGGTGGTCTGGAGCTCTCTTGGAGCGCTCTTGGGCCGTTTTGGGGGTGTTTGGGGCCGTCCTGGGGGCCGCGTGAGCGCCTCTGGGGCGTCCCCGGAGCCGTTGTGGGGCATTTTCACTCCATCAAGGCACGCACGAGTCCCTGCATTGTAGAGAAGAAGACTAGGGCGAACCCGTGGACTCCGTCCACGTCATCTTGGGCCAGTCTTGGCTCGAAGAGGCCGTCTTGGGCATGTCTTCGCTCGAAATGGCGAGAAAGTGGAAATCTTTCAGAAACCATAGAAGAATCAATGATTGAGTTTGCCGCGGCTCGTCTGGAGCGTCTTCGAGCGGTCTTGGGCCGTCTCGGAGGCCCTCTTGGACCGCTTCCTTCTCTTCGTCCGCCTTCCGCTCTACCTCCGCCTAGACAGCCTTCAGAGCATCACAGACGGCTATGGTGGGTCTGCGGTGTACGTCTCGCCGCTTGTCAATTTTGAAAGCACCTGGGGCCTTGAAAAAAGTCACCCGAAGGGCTCTGGTGACTTCTTCCCCTTCGAAGCCTGATGGCGGGCGCTGTCGTCTCCTTGGGAACGGTTAGTGGGCCTCTCGGGGTTTCTTTTCGAGCTCCTGGGGGCCTCTTGGGGCCTCGTTGGCTGTCTTGCGGCCTCCTAAGGGCCTCTTGGGGCCCTCTTGGGCCGTCTTGCGTTCTCCTGGGGGCCTTTTCTCTTGAAGTTTGTTGGACGCCTCTGGGGCCGTTCCCGGGCTGTCCCCCCGAGCCTCTTCCGGGGGACAGCCCAGGAAATCAATTGTTCTTGCGTGCTGTGCGTGCGCACTCCAGTGTGAGAGGTCGGACGGGTGTCCCGACGTCACCGCTCGCTCTTGGGAGCTGTGCCTGGGAGAGCTCTCTACGCTGCGTCTCGCTCTTGGGAGCCTTGGTGAGAAGAGCTTTGTACTTCACCGATCGCTCTTTTAATGGGCGTCTCTGGGCCTGCTTGGTGGTCCTTATGGGGGTCTTTTTCGGGCCATTCTGAAGCTTGTTCGGGCTGCTCTGGGAGCGTTTCGGGACGCTGTGGGGCCATTTGGGGCCGTCACGGGGCGTCCGGGAGGCCTTGGACCGTCTTGGAGCTCTCTTGAGGCTGCCTGAGGCCGTCTGGGGAGCCTCTTGGGGCCCCCTCGGAGCTCTCTTGGGGCCATTTTGGGGTTCTGTGAAGCCGTTTCAGGGCTCTCTGGCGTCGTCTTGGGACTCTTGTGGGCCGTTTTGGAACCCTCTGAGGGGCCGCTGGCGTCTTCTTGGGGCGTTCGGGCGGCCTCTTGGCGTGTCCTGGGCTGCTGAGGAGCACACAACGCGGCCATGCTGAAAATATACGTCTTACAATAGGAACTAGACGATGTGTGCCTCTTTGGCGTGCGCTCGGGGCCCTCTTGGGGCGTATTTGCGGCCTCTTGGATCGTCGTAGAGCCCCCCCCGGAAGGCTTCGGGCCCTCGTGGGCCGTCTCGGGACCCACTGAGGCCGTCTTAAAGCGCTCTTGGACGGTCTGGCAACCCCTCTGGAGCGCCTCTGGGACCGGCCTGAGCGATTCGGCCCCGTGGTGGCGCCGTAAAGGGGCGATTTTGTGCACTCGAGGCCCTGAGACATTCTCGCACGCGCTTCCACTGACCATGTAGGAGAGACTACCGAGGCGGCTCCGAAGGCCCGCCTGGTTGCCCTGGCCCTGGCCCCCCCCCCCCCAGACGGGCCTGGGGGCCTGGAGAGGACCCGTTCGCTGCCACCGCTCGCCATTTTCGCGCGCGCTGGCCGCTGCACTGTAGGAGAGATGATGTTGGGCTCCAGCTTCGCCTCCCGCATGTCGCACAGCAGCGTCAACGCTCGCTGCCACTGCTCGCCCTTCTCGCACGCGCTGATCCCAGCGCTGTAGCTGACTAGGGCTGACCCGCGGCCTCCGGCCGCGGAATTTGCCCGCCCTGGCGTGGACGTGGAAGTGGAGCGTCTCTGGGGCCTCGCGGGCAAGGGGAGGTTGGAGGGGACGGCGTGGATGGAGGAGGTGGCCGCTGGAGGGGAAGGTGGGCAAGGGATGCAGGCAAGCAGGCCTGAATGCAGGAACGCGGTGGTGGAGGCGGTGTCAGTTGAAGCACACTCATGTAGGCATGACACGGTATGGACAGATGCTGTTTCTGACGCCGCAGTCTGTGTTCATCATAGCTTCTGCGGGGAAGGTAGCCGTGAGAAGTTTATTTGCTCTTCGCTGGGGCCGACTGATAATTTCATCTGGCAGTGTGATGACAATGGGGCCAGTGGGCGCGGCCTAGGAGGCCCGCAAGAGGGCGGCAAGACGGAACTCCCTAAGAAGGGCCCCGGTGCGAGGACACGAATCGACTTTTCGAGCGCACCTCCCCAAAACGTCCCCAAATAGCGCAGAGATGGCTCCCAGAGGGTCCAAGAAACCTCCAAAACGATGCTGGAAGTTCGACGCTCCCCAAGAGAGAAGCATCCAAGGCTTCTCGGGGGCCGCTTGGGGGCCTCTTTTCGTCCTCCTGGGGATGGGTCTCTCGGAGCCTTTTCTGGCAGTCTTGAATGCATCTTGGGCCGTCTTGGGGCGATGTGGGGCCGTCTTAGGCGCCTCTCGGACCATCTTGGGACAATCTTAAAGCCATTTTGGGCCAATATTGGGCGCTACTGGGGCTGTCTTTGGTGTTTCTTGAGCCGTCTCGGGCGCCTGGCCGGAAAGGCTTAGAGACGGGGCGGCGGGGGCCTCTACAACCGTCTTGGAAACGGAGCGGTGGAGCCGTCTTGGGCCATTATTCACTGCTCTTGGGGCTGTCTTGGGTGCGTCTTGGGCCGTCTCGGGCGCCTGTGGAGCCGTCCCGGGGCAGTGTGTGGCCCTTTGGGCGCCCTTATGGGGGCGTCTGGGAGGCCTGTATAGCCTTCTGGACGCCGCGAGGAGTATATATATATATATATATATATATATATATATATATATATATACATTCATACTAGCGATCCAGTGAGTGAGCTCAGGCATGACGCAGGGATTCCTGCGCGCCAGATCTGTGGCCTTAACAAGGTTAGAACCGAGCCTATCATCGCTGCCACCTGGGCGCCCTGTACCTCCGGGGCGGCGATCTAAGCAGCAGCTATGTTCGGCGCATTCACTGGGTCATAACAGGCGAGCGTCTCTGAAAGCCTCCAGCCTCCCTCATTGGAGTCGACACCTGGATCGCCTGGCTGAGGCCTGCAATCCGCGCGCAACCTGATGCGCCGCCCCAACGGAGTTCCTCCGTTATAATGAATATACAAACCCACAACGTCGTACGAGGGCCTCTGATCGGCCTATCAAGCCACTGATCTTCTGTGAAGAGCGACACTGCATCGCTGAACTCACGAAGCCGCTGGCCAGTAGCAGCATACACCACAGGATTCGTGCGAGCGTCGGAGCCGCCTCCAGGAGGCAGAGGAGCGACGGCAGCGGCAAAGGCGGGGGGAAGAGCCGCGCGTGCTGGCGCTCCGCCCCCACCCACAAGGACACCCGCCCCGTCGGCATGAGCGGCCCCTTTGGCGGCGCCCCAGGCTGCGCCAGCAGCAGGCGGCGGCCCGAAAGCAGCAACGAGACGCGCCAGGCACCTTCCAGGCGCCGGCGCTGGCCCAGCCGCGCCGGCTCCGCCGGCAGCGGCGGGCAAGGGCGCGGCAGGCGGCGCAGCTGCAAGCGCTCCAGCGTCCAGGACCCCGGGACCCGGACCAGGGACCCCACCAGGCCTGCCAGGGGCCACCCCAGGAGCAGCACCAGCAGGGGCTGCAGCTAGAGCGCCGGCAGCCGCGCCACCCCCCGCAGCTGGAGGGGCTACCGCGGGTGCGGGAGCGCCCCCCAGCAGAGGATGCACGTTGCCCGCTGGCGGGGCGAAACCCATCCGCCGATAGCCCGCGGCTCGGGCCGCTGTCAGCTGGGCGACGGCCGGGATCACGCGGAACCTGTAGTACAAGGCGTTCGCACCAGCATGAGGAACGACTCCATTCGGGCCGGCAACCGCGATCCAGTCCGAAACGTCTGCTCCGAGCATCAGGTCCTCCTCGTATCCGTCGAGGTCTGGAATCGTGACCGGTCACCCCTCACGACCGCCGACATTGTACCTCATGGCGAAGAACTCTCCCTCACGAAGGCCGAGAAGATGCTCGTCAGCGGCTGCTGCCGCCATTGCTCCTGGATGCCGGTGCCGACGCGCCGGCGAACTTGCGCCTGCTGTCGGCGGGCGAGCACAGCAATCTCGTCCTCAACGTCTAGGTCTCCAGCACAAGGTGTGGGTTGTCCTGCGGGCGAGGCAGGAGCAGCACGACGATGACACCAGAAGCTGCTGAAACTGCCACGCGCAAGTTGTCCGCCGCCACAAGTCCAGCAAGGAAGGTCCCCAAAATCAGCCCCACGTGCTCCACTGGGCTCGCTCTCTCGTGGAAGATTTCCTTCGCGTGCGTCGGTTCCACGGCAGGGCAATCGCAATGCACAACGGGGCGGCATTCGGGGCAAGGGGGTAGTGCCTGCGCCCTGGGGAAAAAACGGTTCGAGATACCTCGGGCGAGCTCTGGAACCACGTTCCGGCCCAAAAACTGCATGGGCTGGGCCAGCTCGAGCCTTGAGAATTACGGGACGGTGTTCCCGCGGCCAGATGGACACAACTCGGCTTAAAGAGGTGATCGCATCCATATATATATATGTGTATATATAATATTATAGTATTTATGTATGTATATATAGAGATGTGTGTGAATGCATGTATGTATGTATGTATGTATGTATGTATGTATGTATGTATGTATAGGTATATGTATATACATATCGTTATGTATATATGTGCCTTCATACTTATGTATGTTTGTGTATATATATACAGTTATCATGTATGTATGGATGTGTATGTATGAATATATGTATATATACAACCGTGGCAAAACATCTTCGATTCGCTATGATGCAGATCTCTCCCATCCCTCTGAATATTCATAACATGACATGATGGTGGGATCATTCGGCGGAGTAGTTTCAGATCCCGGAGACGTTAATACCTCTGTTGCCCCAAAACGGGATCGGAAACTACTCCGCGCCAAACTAGATATATATATATATATATAATATATATATATATATATATATATATATATATATGCTCGGTCCCCCCCCCCCAGCGACCCCCCAAAACGCCCAAAACACGAAGCCGCGGTCTTGAGATGCTGGCACCGAACAGCCGCAGACACATGGTCTGTCACAGCCGGCTGTGACCCGAGAAGTATTCCTCCTCATCTTACTCTCCCTCATCCTCCCCCTCCTCTTCCATCTCCCCCCTCGCCTCCTGCTTCTCCTGTTCCTCGTCCTCCTCCTCCCTCCTCCCTCGTCCTCCACCTTCTGTGCTTCCTCCTGGTCCTCTCCCTGTTGGAGAACGTTCGGAGCATAAGGTTGACGGGGGGCAAACCGTAGCAACGAAATGTTCCAAGACTTGAATGGTTCCCTTCGTGTCCCCTGTTGTCCCCTCGTGTCCCCCTCGTGTCCCCCTGGAGGAGGCCTTCCTCAAGGAGCACTGCCAGTGAGCGGCGAGCGCTGTAGTCCCCGAGGAGTACACAGTGTTTTCTTGTTCGGAGGCCACGAAACACTGTGTATCACAGGTTTTTCTGGTTTTTCTGGTCTGGGAACCAACGAAACATTGTGTATCACAGGTTTTTCTGGTTTTTCTGGTTTTCAGGCGCCGACAAACAGGAGGGGGGGTGCGGTGGGGCGAGGCCGCGGCGCGCATTTCAGCTCCAGAAACCAGAGAAACCAGAAAAAACCTGTGATACACAATGTTTCGTTGGTTCCCAAACCAGAAAAACAAGAAAAACCAGTGATACACAGTGTTTTCTTGCTCGGAGGCCACGAAACACTGTGTATCACATGTTTTTCTGGTTTTCTGGTTTGAGCGGCGAGCGCTGTAGTCCCCGAAGAGTGCACAGTGTTTTCTTGCTCGGAAGCCACGAAACACTGTGTATCACAGGTTTTTCTTGTTTTTCTGGTCTGGGAACCAACGAAACATTGTGTATCACCGTTTTTTATGGTTTTTCTGGTTTTCAGGCGCCGACAAACAGGAGGGGGGGTGCGGTGGGGCGAGGCCGCGGCGAGCATTTCAGCACCAGAAACCAGAAAAACCACAAAAACATGTGATACACAATGTTTCGTTGGTTCCCAGACCAGAAAAACCAGAAAAACCAGTGATACACAGCGTTTTCTTGCTCGGAGGCCACGAAACACTGTGTATCACATGTTTTTCTGGTTTTCTGGTTTTCAGGTGCCGACAAACAGGAGGGGGGGGCGGTGGGGCGAGGCCGCGGCGAGCATTTCAGCTCCAGAAACCAGAAAAACCTGTGATACGCAGTGTTTCGTTGGTTCCCAGACCAGAAAAACCAGAAAAACCTGTGATACACAGTGTTCGTGGCCTCGGCCGAAACCGATATGCTTGCGCGCACGGTGCCCGTGACGGATGGGCCGAGCGGATGAGTTCGTCAGCCTGGATGGCAGGCCAAAGTTGAGTTGTGTATTCGTGCTTTGGGCGCTCTGGGGGGTCGCTGGGGGGGGGGATCGACCACATATATATATATATATATATATATATATATTATCGAGAGGGGTGCGATTGCGCGCGGAGTAGTTTTAGTAAAACTACTCCGAACTACTCCGAAGGAGCGCGTCATTCCAAAAGGGACATTGTAATATACTTTCGTCACGGAGAAGTATGTATGTATGTATGTATGTATGTATGTATGTATGTATGTATGCATGCATGCATGCATGCGTGCATGCATGCATGTATGTATGTATGTATGTATATGTGTGTATGTATGTATGTGTACGTATGTGTGTATATATATATATTGAAAATGTGCGTTTCCAATCGGGAATGGGGCGGTTTGGTTTGGGCCTCTTGGGGCTCTCCTGGAAGATCTCCTGGGCCGTCTTGGGAACCTCCTGGCCTGCCTTGGGGGCCTCTGGGGCTGTCGTGGGGCTCCCAAAGGGTGCTCTGAAGCCGGCTTGGCGCCCCCTGGGGCCTTTCGGGGCCGTCTCGTTGGCCATTCTTGGCTGCTCTTGGGGCTGTTTTGGAGGCGTCCTGGGCCGTCTCGGGCGCCTCTGGAACCATCCCGGGGCCGTGTGGGGGGGGCCCGTTGGGGGCCTCTGGGCGCGTCTTGGGGCGAGGTGGAGTGCCTCTATAGCCGTCTTGGACGCTGCGAGGGCGAAAAAAATGCATATAGCGAAAATGTGCGCTTCCCGTCGGGAATGGAACGATTGGGGCCTTTTCGGGCTCTCCTGGAGGCCCTCCCGGGCCGCGTTGGGAGCGGCCTCTGGGGTTGCCTTGGGGCTCCCAAGGGTGCTCTGAAGCCGTCTTGGCGCCCCCTGGGGCCTTTCGGGGCCGTCCCGTTGGCCATTCTTGGTTGCTCTTGGGCCTGTCGTGGGTGCGTCCTGGACCGTCGTGTGGGGCCCTGCGGGGGCCCCTGGGCGCATCTTGCGGGGAGGTGGAGGGCCTGTATAGCCGTTTGAAGGCCCTCCTGGGGTGCTTTGGTGGCGTTTTGTGGCGATCGGGAAGGCCTGTATAGCCATCTTGGACGCGGTGAAGACGAAAAGAACGAGCATATCAAAAATGCACGTTTTCCGAAGCGAATGGGGCAATGTGTGCCTCTTGGGTCCCTCCTGGGGGTCCTGGCTTGGGGTCCTCTGGGGCCGGCTTGGGCGCCTCTTGGGCCATCTTGGGGCTCCCTGGGCCGTCTTGGGGCGCGCTTGGGGGCCTGGTGGGCCGTCCTGGGGCGGTCTTGTGGGTCGTTTTGGCCGTCTTGGAGCGTCGGCTAGACGAGGAGGTGAGAAGGCAAAACTCCTTCAGAAACGATTGAAACATTAAAGATTGTGGCCTCTGGCGGCATGCTTCAGAGTATTGTTGGAGGCTCTTGGAGGCCTCTTGTCGGGGTCTTGGGGCTCTTGTGTGGGCGTATGGGGGCCCAGGTCTCGGAGTGTCAGGGTTTTTCCCATGTGGTCCCCTCTTGGGCCTGGCTTGGGGCCCCCTGGGGCCGTCTTGGGCGCCTCTTGGGCCATCTTTGGGCTCCCTGGGCCGTCTGGGGACGCGCTTGGAGGCCTGTTGGGCCGTCATGGGGTGGTTTTGTGGGTCTCTTCGGCCGTCTTGGAGCGTCGGCTAGCCGAGAAGGCGAGAAGGCAAAACACCTGCAAACACCATGGAACAATTAAGGATGTTGGCCTCTAGGGACATGCTTCGGAGGACTGCTGGAGGCTCTTGGAGGCCTCTAGGGCCTTGCTGGGGGCCTCCACGGGGCCTCTTGGACGCTCCTTGGAGCCTCTGATGGCCACTTCGGCGCGCCTTTGGGGGGATGGCTCGATTTGTGACGCTCGGGGGCCAAGATCTGCGAGAGGGGTGTCGAAAGATGGCCCTCCAGGAAGCGCACGACCTTTTCGCACGCGCTTCCGTCTGCCATAGAGAAGAGATGACGGTGGGTTTCAGCTTTGCCGTCCACATCTCGCTCAGCAGCGCCAGGGCCCGCTGCCACAGCTCGCCCTTCTCGCACGCACTGATCCCAGCGTTGTAGCTGATGGCGTCGGGCTCCAGTTTCGCCGCCCGCATCTCGCTCATCAGCGCTAGGGCCCGCTGCCACTGCTCGCCCTTCTCGCACGCGCTGATCCCAGCGCTGTAGCTGACTAGGGCTGACCCGCGGCCTCCGGCCGCGGAATTTGCCTGCCCTGGCGCGCACGTGAAAGTGGGGGCGCCTCTGGGGCCTCGCGGGCAAGGGGGGGCCGCTGGAGGGGAAGGTGGTATGGTGACAGGAACACACGGGCAATGTCGACAATGTGACTGTCTGGCGAAGGGCGGCCAGCGTCTGTGGAGAGAAGCGAACGCTCCGCGGGGGGACCTGCGTGCGGTGAGGCACGCGTTCACGCAGCTCGCGACCTTGACCACGGCGCCCAGGTGCAGCAGCTGCTGCTGCTGCTGCTGATGCTGCTGCTGCTGGTGGTGCTGCTCGCAGCTGCTGCTGCTTGCTGCGCCTGGATCGTCGTCCTCCTCCTCCTCCTCCCCCTCCCCCTCCCCCTCCCCTCCTCTCCTCCTCCTCCTCCTCATCCTCCTCCTCCTCCTCCTCCTCCTCCTCCTCCTCCTCCTCCTCCTCCTCCTCCTCTTCCTTCTCCTCGTTATCTCGATCCTGCATCCCCTCGGTCGTGAATCGTCGATCCCAGGACGACGCTCCCCAACAAAGAGATGTCCAAAGCCCTGTGAAAACGAAACTGTTGTGCCTGCGAGGTGCCTGTCGCCTCTCGTCCGCTCCCCCCCTCCTGGAGACAAACCTGAAGCCACTTAGGGTCTGTGGGAGCCGTGTCGGAGCCTCTTGGGACATCATGTGGGCCTCCCGGGAGGCTCGTAGGCTTCTCTTGGGCCGTCTGGGGTGCCTCTTGGGCCGTCTTTGGACCGTCGGAGGCCCGCGTGGGCGCTCTTGCGCTGTCGCGGGCCGTCTGGGGCCGCTCTTGGAGCCGTCTTGGGTGCCACTTGGGCCGTCTTGGGCGCCTCCTGGGCTGTCTTTGGGCCGTCTTGGGGCGTCTTGGGGCCGTCTGGGAGCCCTCTTGGCCCGTCTTGAAGCCCTCTTGGGGGCCTCTTCGGTGGTCTTGGAGCGGTGTTGGGCCTCTTGGGCCGTCTTGGAGCGCAGAGACGGCGAAAAGGGGAGAAGGCGAAACACATAGAAAAACACAATGGACATCGACGATTTCTCCCACTGGGGGCCCTGCTGGGAAGCCTCTTGGGAGGCCTCTCGGGGCATTTTGGCCGCCCTTCGGGCCGTGTTGGGCCAATCTTCGGCGTCTTGGACCCATCTTGGGGTGTCCCGGGGCCCTCTGGGGCCGTCTTGGGCGCCTCCTGGGCCGTCCTTGGGCTGTCTTGGGGCGTCTTGGGACCGTCTGGGAGCCCTCTTGGCCCGTCTTGAGGCCCTCTTGGGGGCCTCTTCGGTGGTCTTGGAGCGGCGTTGGGGACCTCTTGGGCCGTCGTGGAGCGCAGGGACGGCGAAAAGGGGAGAAAGCGAAAAACAGTGAGAAACACAATGGAAATCGACGATGTCTTCCGCTCGGGGCCCTGCTGGGAAGCCTCTTGGGAGGTCTCGTGGGGCAGATTGGCCGCCTCTCGGGCCGTCTTGGGTCAATCTTCGGCGTCTGGGGCCCATCTTGGGGCGTCCTGGGGCCCTCCTGGGGCCGTCTTGGGGCCCTCATGGCGTGACTTGGAGCCTCGGCAAGGGGCGGCTCCGGGGCCAGCCCGGGGCGGCCTGGGGCGGTTCTGCGGCCATGGGGCCTGCACCCTTCTGGCACACACGGCCCCCGGCATTAGAATATAGGTGACGTCGGGCTCCAGTTTCGCCTCCCGCATCTCGCTCAGCAGCCCCAGGGCCCGCTGCCATTGCTCGCCCTTCTCGCACGCGCTGATCCCAGCGCTGTAGCTGACTAGGGCTGACCCGTGGACTCCGTCCACGACATCTTTCTGGAATGGTTCTCGGAGGAACGGCGCAGATTGTACCGAAAATCTAAAAGCACGGCGGCGGCTCGGGCGGCGGCAGCGAGACCGCGCCTTCGTGTCCGAGCTCTTGCAGCGCTCCAGCAGCTTGGCCCAGCGCACTGCTCGTTCACCCCCCTCCTATTGAGGACAGTTTCGAAGTCTCTCGGGGATGTGCGTCGAAGTCGAAGCCCATCTGAGGCGTCTCAGGAGCGCTCGGGGAAGGGCTCGGGAGGCCATCGGGGAAAGCCACCGAAGGCGCCGGGGAGGCTCGCAAGGATCTACAGGGAGGGCATAAGAGAGTTTCAAGAAAATTTGAAATTCTGTGAAATCTTTAGAGAAATCGCTGTTGGGTCGGCCATCACCTCCGGGCGCGCCTTGATGGTGCGATCCAGTCGCGTCACCGCCAACGGGAGGGTTTAGGGAGGCCCATTCTGTTCGCCCAGAGGGTCTGTGGAGGCCTTCGGGCGAACAGAACGGGACAGGACAAGGAATGGGGAAGACTTGTCCGAATCTCCTGGGCCCCCCAGGTGCTCGTCCGAAGAATGCGGAGAGGTCCCAGGGTCATATCAATTGGCTGCTGTCCCAGGGGTCCGGTCTGCTTGGCCCGAAGAGTTCGCCAAGGCCCCTGGGGGAACAGAATGGCACAGCATATCGGGCAAAGGGGGGCGGTAGCTGGCCTGTCAGACCCGGCGTTCGTCTCCTGCCCAAGCGGCGCGGGGCCCACGGGCCCCAGGGTTGGCGGCCCGCTGGGTTTCCTCTTGTTCGCCCACAGGGTTGGAGGAGGCCTCCAGGCGAACAGAATAGGGCAGGACAATGAATGTGGGAGACTTGTCGCAAGCTCCCAGCCCCCCCAAGTGTGCGCCCGAAGGGTGTGGGGCCGCGTTGGCTCCCTCAAAGGGCCGTCTTGGAGCCGTCCAGGCCCGTCTTGAGGGCGCCGTGTGCCGTGATGGGGCCGTCTTGGTTCGTCGTGGGCCCCTCATGGGCCGTCCGTAGGCCGTCCTGGGCCCATCGGGGTCCTCGTGGGGCTGTCTGGAGCCGTCTGGGACCGTGAGGGGGCCGCCTTGGAGTCGTCTTGGGCCCCTCCTGTGCGCATCCTTGGGCCGTCCTGGGCCCAGCAGGGGCCGTGTTGGCACCCTCTTGGGGCTGTCTTGGGCCGTCTTGAGCCGTCGCAGCGCACCTTGGGTTGTGTTGGGTCCGTCTTGGCCCGTCTTGGGGCCTTCCTGGGCGTTTCCTCGGACCCTCCTGGGACTTTCTGGGGCCTCTTGGTGCATCGGACCGCCGAAACGGCGGGAAACGCAAAGGGTGTAACAATAAACAATGGAAAATTAACGATTTTTGCCAGCTGGGGCTCTCTTGCCATCTTGGCCCGTCTTGAGGCCCCGAACGGGCGCGTCCTTGGGCCGTCCTGGGCGCACCCTCCTGGGACCGTCTTGGAATCGTCTTGGGCCGTCTTGAGCGCGCCTTGGGCCGTCCTGGGCCCGTCTGGGGCCGTGTTGGCACCCTCGCGGCGAGGAAGCTCGGAGGCGGGCTCGAGGCCTCTCTGGGGCCATTTTGGAAGCTGTTGGGGCCTCTGTAGGGGCCTCGTCTGGGCTCCTTGGGAGCCTCCTGGGGCCTCTTTGGGGGATTCTTGGCGGCCCCTTGGGGCCTCTTGGGGGCCTGTTTGGGTCTCCTGGCGCCCTCTTGGGGCGGAATGCTCGGATTTTCGGTCCGTGGTCCCCCTCTTGGCCCCCTCGTGGGCCTGTCTTCGGGCCCTCGTGGGCCGTCTTGAGCGTCTCTTGGGTCGTCTTGGGGCCCTCTTGGGCTGTCTTGGGGCGCTCTTGGAAACCTCTTGGGCCGTTCTGGGGCGCTCTTGGAGGCCTCTTGGGCCGTCTTCGAGCGTCGGAAAGCGGAAAAAGCGAGAAGGCCACAATCCGTTCAAAACCGTCGTAAAGCGGATGATTTTGAAGCCCCAAACCGTCCAAAACCTCCTGAGGCGATCCCCTCGTCCGCCCCCGTGGCACCTCTTGGGGACCTCTTTTGGGCTCCTGGGGGCCTCTTGGGCCTCTCTGGGCTTGTCTATCGCGCCCCTTGGGCTGTCTTGGGGCCCCCGAGGGCCTTCTTGGGCGGTCCTCGGGCCGTCTTGGAGCCATCTTGGGCCGCTCTTCGGGCCATCTTGGGGTCCCGTTGGCCTGTCTTGGGCGCCTCTGGGGCCGTCCTGGGGCCGCCTTGGACCGTCTTGGGGCCCTCTTGGACCGTCTTGGGGCCCTCTTGGGGACCTCGTGGACCGTCTTGGAGCGGTCTTGGATGCCTCTGGGGGGGGTTCGGAGCGTCGGGAAGCCGAAAAAACGAGGAAGCAAAAAACCTCGGAAAAAACACATGAAAATCAACGATTTTGGCCTCTCGGGGCTCTCCTGGGAGGCCTCTTGGGAGGCCTGTTGGGCCGTCTTGGGGAACTCTTGGGCCGTCTTGGGCCAATCTCGGGCGTCTTGGCCGGATCATTGCGCGTCTCGGGGCCCTCTTGGGCCGCCTTCGGGGCATCTTGAGCGGGTCGGAGCCGTCTTGGAGCGGCTCGGAGCCGTCTTTGGGCCGTCGGGGCGGCCTCCGGAGCGTCTCGGAGCCGTTTCCGTCCATTTGACGCTTTTTCCTTCCGGCACGCGGTTCCTCCGGCCATATAGTAGCTGACTAGGGCTGACCCGCGGCCTTCCGGCCGCGGAATCTGCCCGCCATGGCGTGGACGTGGAAGTGGAGCGTCTCTGGGGCCTCGCGGGTAAGGAGAGGTTGGAGGGGACGGCGTGGATGGAGGAGGTGGCCGCTGGAGGTGGAGGTGGCCGAGGAGGGATACAGGCAAGCGAGTGATAACTTTATCTGGTAGTGTGGTGGCAATGGGGCCAGTGGGCGCGGCCTAGGAGGCCCACAAAAGGGCGGCGAGACGGCCCAAAAGGTCTCCAGGACGGGCCAAGAGGCTCTGAAGGCCCCACGAACTCCCTAAGACGGGCCCCAGTGCGAGGACACGGATCGACCTTTCGAGCGCACCGCCCCAAGACGTCCCCAACTGGCGCAGAGATTCCCAGAGGGTCCAAGAAGCCCCCAAGACGACGCTGGAAGTTCGACGCTCCCCAGGAGAGAAGCATCCAAGGCCTCTTGGGGGCCGTTTGGGGGCCCTCTTGTCGTCCTCCTGGGAGTCTCTCGGGGCCCTCTTGGGCAGTCTTGAGTGCATCTTGGGCTGTCTTGGGGCGATTTGGAGCCGACTTGGGCGCCTCTCGGACGATCTTGGGGCCGTTTTGGGGCCATCTTGGGCCGATCTTGGGCGCTCTTGGGGCTGTCTTGGGTGTTTCTGGGGCCGTCCCGGGCGCCTCTGGAGCCGTCCCGGACGGCCCACAGACCGTCTTGGAGACTGTGCAGACGGAAAGGCTTGGAGACGGGGCGGCAGGGGCCTCTACAGCCGTCTTGGTGTCGCCCTGGAGCCGTTTGGGGCGCCTCTCGGGCTATCTTGACGCCCTCTCGGGCCGGTTTTCGTGCGTCTTGGGGGCCTCTTGGGCCGTCTTGGGGCGGTCGTGGGAACCTTGAACCAGCTTCTGCGCCATATTCCCGACAAGCAGCGCATGCTAAAATTGGACGCTTTTCTGCGGGAAAATAATGGTTTTCGCCTCTTGGGGCAATCCTTGGACGCCTCTTGGGCGTCACTGGGGCCGTCGTGGAGGCCTCCTGGGCCGTCTTGGGTCTCTTGGAGCGCTCTTGGGCCGTCTTGGGGGTGTCTGGGGCCCGTCCTGGGCGCCTCCTGGGAGCCTCTTGGGGCCGCGTGGGGGCCGTGTTGGGCGCCTCTTGGGGCTCTTGACGCTCTCTCGGGCCGGTTTTCGTGCCCCTGGGGGGGCCTCTTGGGCCGTCTTGGGGCGGTCGCGGGGACCTCTTGTCCCATCTTCTGCGCCATATACCCGGCAAGCAGTGCATGCTAAAATTGGACGTTTCGCTTTTGAGAAAAACAATGATTTGGGACTGTGGGGGCCATCCTGGGACGCCTCTCGGGCGTCTCTGGGGCCGTCGTGGAAGCCTCCTGGGCCTTGTCGGGGCCGTTTTCGGCGGTCTTGAGCTCTCTTGGAGCGCTCTTGGGCCGTTTTGGGGGTGTCTGGGGCCGTCCTGGGCGCCTCTGGGGCCGCGTGAGCGCCTCTGGGGCGTCCCCGGAGCCGTTGTGGGGCATTTTCAATCCATCAAGACAGGGACCCTTCCCGCACGCACGGGTCCCTGCATTGTAGAGAAGCCTAGGGCGAACCCGTGGACTTCGTCCACGTCAACCAGCGTGTTCAGAATGTGCACGTCCTGCGGCCAGGGATATCCTCGGGCCTCGTACGGGGTCTTGAGGGTGACTTGGGGCCATCTCGGGCGCCTTCTGGACGGTCTTGGGCCGTTTTGGGCCGTCTTGGGCGCCTGTCGGGCTGTCATCAGGCCGTCTTGGGCGGCTTCGGGGGAGCCTCCCGGGCCATCTTGGAGCCCTCCTCGGTGTTTGCGGGGCCCCTCCCATATCCCCACGGACGGCCTTGTAGCGTTCGGGGGAGCCCCAGCAGCCGTTTTGGGCTAGATTTGGCTCGAAATGGCGAAAAGGTGGAAATCTTTCCAAAACCATGGCGATTTCGTTTGCCGCGGCCCGTCTGGACGACAACTGGGCCGTGCACGAGCCATATTGGAAATGTTTGGCCGTGTCGGATCTCTTTGAACCGTCTTGGGCGGCTCTCAAGGGCCCGTCTGCGGTTCCTGGGGGCTCTCTCGCGCCGTCGTGGGTCTCTCTTGGACCGTTTAGAACTTCTCTATAGAAGCCGTCTTGGACCACTCCTGAACCGTCTTGGGGCCCTGCCGGAGCCTCTTGGACCTTGGAGCGTTCGTGCGGGGCCCAGGAGTAGCTCGAAATCGCGAGAACCTGGAAATCATGTCATTTAGCCTGGCGAAGGACCCAACCATGTGCAGTTGTGGATGCAACAATTGTGCATATCATATTCGCCCGCGCTCCCATATGGGGCCATGGGGCTACGAACCGTGTGGGGGGCGTGCCGAAATTCATGGTGGGGCACACAACGCGTGCGAAGACGATAGGTATGTATGCGAAAGACTGAAAGCGGGTGAGTGTGAGCACGAATGAATCTGACTGTGGATGAGTCTGCGCGCGCGTGACTCTACGTACACAAATGTCGACGCCCATGTCGGCACGCCCCTCACGAGGATCCTTCCCGTTCTTTGTCTCCCTCTTTGCCCGTGCACGCCCATGTCCACGGCTGCGGGCGCGACGCCGCACGGAGTCCCCGTGACGCGCGCTGGTCGCCCCGAAGGGGTCCCGCCGACGCGCGCGGGTCGTCCGTTGCGCGGAGCAGCGAGAGCTAGCAGGCTGGCTGATAGCGGGCAAGGCTGTGGCCGCTGGGCAGAGCGACGACGGAGGCGACCGACGCGCTGGGCAGAGCGGTGGTGCCATGCGGACCCTTCCACGGAAGCCTTCGGTGGAACGCCCTATGGGGCCACGAAGCGTGTAAGGAGTGTGTCGAAATGGGGCGGCGGTGCTATGCGGATCCTCTCGCTGGTGCTTTCGGTGGAACTCCATATGGGGCCACGAAACGTGTGACGGGTGTGCCGAAATGGGGCGGCGGTGCCATGCGGACCCTCCCGCTGCGGCCTTTGGTGGAGCTCCCTATGGGGCCAAGAAATGTGTGATGGGGCGGCGGTGCCATGCTGACCCTCCGGCTGGGGCCGCGAATCGTGTGAAACGGGTGTGCCGACATGGGGCGGCGGTGCCATGCGGACCCTCTATGGGGCCACGAAGCGCGTGAGGGTTGTGCCGAAATGGGGCGGCGGTGCCATGCGGTCACTCCCGCTGGGGCCTTCGGTGGAGCTCACTATGGGGCCACGAAACGTGTCACGGGTGTGCCGAAATGGGGCGGCGGTGCCATGCGGACCCTCCCGCTGGGGCCTTCGGTGCAGCTCTCTATGGGACCACGAAACGTGTCAGGGGTGAACCAGAATGGGGCGGCGGTGCCATGCGGACCCTTCTGCTGGGGCCTTCGGTGGAGCTCCCCATGGGGCCACGAAACGGGCGAGGGGTGTACCGGAATGGGGCGGCGGTGCCATGCGGACCCTCCCGCTGCGGCCTTCGGTGGAGCTCCCCATGGGGCCACGAAACGGGCGAGGGGTGTGCCGACATGGGGCGACGGTGCCATGCGGACCCTCCCGCTGGGGCCTTCGATGGAGCTGCTCCCTATGGGGCCACGAAACGTGTGACGGGTGTGCCGAAATGGGGCGGCAGTGCCATGTGGACCCTCCCGCTGGGGCCTTCGGTGGAGCTCCCTATGGGGCCACGAAACGTGTGAGGATGAGGGATGGAGGGGGAGGAGGAGGAGGAGGAGGAGGAGGAGGAGGAGGAGGAGGAGGAGGAGGAGGAGGAGGAGGAGGAGGAGGAGGAAGAGGAGGAGAGGAGAGGAGAGGAACGCGGGGCCTTGTCTCTTCAAAACGAGGACCCAACACCACAGGATGGTTTGGAAAAACCATTGTCAGAAATAAAGGATTTTTGGCCGTCGCGAGCCGTCTCGATGGCCTCTTGGGTCGTTGGGGCCATGCTGGGGCTCTTGGGCTGTCTCGGAGCTCTCTGTGCGCCCTCTTGGGCGGCCTTTGGGGGCACGTTTAGGGGCTCCTGGTGGCTCTCTCGAGCCGTCTTGGGGTTTTCTTGAGCCGTCTTGGGCTCTTGCGGGAGCCATCTTGGAGCCCTCCTGAGCCGTGTTGGGGCCCTTGCCTGAACTCTTGGGAGTTCCTCGTCATCCTCCCGCAATCCCACCAGCCCTTTGGGCATGAGTGGTTTAGAGAGCTCTCTCTGTCCTCAACCCCCCTTCTTCCCCTTCGGGGAGGGGTACCCCTCCTCCTACCCCCTCCCCCTGGGCCTGGAGAGGGAGTCCCGCGGGTCGCCGGGGGGGTCTTTTTCGACTCCTGGGAGGGCCAAAAAACGACGACCCTCACGAGATTTGGCCCCGAGGGGGGGGCCGAGTTGGCCCCTCTGCTCTGCTTTGAAGCCAGAAAAATCGTTGATTTACTACGGTTTGGCTCCATTTTTGGCCTCTGAGGGGGCCGCGTCATCTTCCTTCTAGCAAAATCAGGATTTACTAAGGTTTTGGCCTCATGTTGTCCTTCTCTGGGGGCAGCGCTCATTTGCGCTTCTGAGGAGATCGCCAGAGGCCCCAAGATGGCCCCAAGAGGCTCCCAGGAGGCTCCCAAGAGGCCTCCCAGAGGCCCCCAAGAGGCCCCCAAGAGCCCCCAAGAGGCCCCCAAGAGGCCCCCAAGAGGCCCCCAAGAGGCCCCCAGAGGCCCCCAAGAGGCCCCCAAGAGGCCCCCAAGAGGCCCCCAAGAGGACCCAAGAAGCTCCAAGAGGCCCCCAAGAGGCCCCACGAGGATCCCGAACGACTCACACCAGGACGAGGGGCCCGAACGACTCACACCACGAAGAGCCCGAACGACTCACACCACAAGGAGGGGCCCGAACGACTCACACCAGGACGAGGCGCCCGAACGACTCACACCACGAGGAGCCCGAACGACTCACACCACGACGCGGGCCCCGAACGACTCACACCACGAGGAGCCGGAACGAGTCACACCAGGAGGAGGGGCCCGAACGACTCACACCAGGACGAGGGGCCCGAACAACTCACACCACGAGAAGCCCGAACGACTCACACCAGGACGAAGAGCCCGAACGACTCACACCACGAAGAGCCCGAACGACTCACACCAGGAAGAAGGGCCCGAACGACTCACACCAGGACGAGAAATCCCAAACGATTCAAATCACGAGGAGCGCTTTCTCTCCCTCCTCCTCCGCCTCGTCCTTCTCCCGCTCCCCCCACAAGGAGGATGTACAAGGAGGCGGGAGAAGGAGGAACAGGGGAGATATGCGGGGCCAAGCGGACACACGCCTGAAAAACACGACTGTCGGCATGCTTCGCAAGAGTTGCTGCTGTGAGATGGGCTGGTGGGGATACGCGAAGCGTAAAGAATTCCTTCTGCTCTTCCGCCTCCTCCTCGTCCTCCTCCTCCTCCTCCTCCTCCTCCTCCTCCTCCGTTCCTCCTTCGCTTCCTCCTCCTTCATGAGCCGGGGTGGGTCGATGTCGCGCCTTCAAAGGAGGAAGACCTGGCCTGAGGACGACGTCCATAGCAAGCGGCGAGACCTGCGCGGACACGGAAACGAAAGGGGCGATTCAGGAATCGGCCCGAGATGGCTCATGGCGCCCTTCGCTTTTGAGAGCCCCTGTGTGAAGGGCTGGTCACGTCACCGCTTGCTCTTGGGAGCTGTGCCTGGGAGAGCTCTCTAATCTGCGGCTCGCTCTTGGGAGCCTTGGTGAGAAGAGCTTTGTACTTCACCGATCGCTCTCTTCATGAGCGTCTCTGGGCCTGCTTGATGGTCCTTGTGGGGATCTTTTTCGGGTCATTCTGAACTTTTTTTGTTGGCTGCTCTGGGAGCGTGTTGGGACGTCTTGGGGCCATGTTGGGCCGTCACGGGGCGTCCGGGAGGCCTTGGACCGTCTTGGAGCTCTCTTGAGGCTGCCTGAGGCCGTCTTGGGAGCCTCTTGGGGCCCCCTCGGAGCTCTCTTGGGGCCGTCTTGGGGTTCTGTGAGGCCGTTTCAGGGCTCTCTGGCGTCGTCTTGGGGCTCTTGTGGGCCGTCTTGGAGCCCTCTTAGGGGCCGCTGGTGTCTTCTTGGGGCGATTTGGGAGGCCTCTTGGCGTGTCCTGGGCCGCTGAGGAGCACACAAGGCGGGCATGCTGAAAATATACGTTTCGCAATCGGAATTTGACGATTTGTGCCTCTGGCGTGCGCTCGGGGCCCTCTTGGGGCGTCTTTGCGGCCTCTTGGATCGTCGTGGAGCCCCCCCCCCCGGAAGGCTTCGGGCCCTCGTGGGCCGTCTCGGGACCCACTGAGGCCGTCTTGGATCGCTCTTGGACGGTCTGGGAACCCCTCTGGAGCGCCTCTGGGACCGGCCTGAGCGATTCGGCCCCGTGGTGGCGCCGTAAAGGGGCGATTTCGTGCACTCGAGGCCCTGAGACATTCTCGCACGCGCTTCCACTGACCATGTAGGAGAGACTACCGCGGCGGCTCCGAAGGCCCGCCTGGTTGCCCTGGCCCAGGGCCCCCCCCCCCCCCCCCAGACGGGCCTGGAGAGGACCCGTTCGCTGCCACCGCTCGCCATTTTCGCGCGCGCTGGCCGCTGCACTGTAGGAGAGATGATGTTGGGCTCCAGCTTCGCCTCCCGCATGTCGCTCAGCAGCGCCAGCGCTCGCTGCCACTGCTCGCCCTTCTCGCACGCGCTGATCCCAGCGCTGTAGCTGATGACGTTGGGCTCCAGCGTCGCCTCCCACATCTCACTGAGCAGTGACAGCGCGTGTTGCCATTGCCCGCCTTGTCTGCATGCGCCGACAGTCGCCATGTAGTGGCTTGGGTGGAGTTGCACACCTAATCGAATTCCGTCGCGCAGCACCTGCAGTGCTGCGCTCCATTGTTTTGTCCGACCGCAGTCTTTGATCGACGCTTCGAGGGAAATAGCGCCTCCTCGAGACCCTCGACCGATGTCCAACATCCGAAAAGACAAGGCATCGCGGCGTGAGCCAAAACTACCTTGGGTCAAATGGCTTCAGCTAAAGGCTTCAACCAAAATGGCTTGAGCCAAAATAGCTACGGGGCCGTCTTGGGGGCCTTTATTGCCGTCTTGTGTGGATCCTTAAGGCCTCTCGGGCCTTTGCGGACGCTGTGAAGACCAAACAAGCAGCTGTGCTAGAAATGTACGACGGAATGTACCAGTGTTCCGCGGGTCTACGGATGGGAGGGCGATGACGCTGGTGCACGCTTGTACATGAGGTTCCGTCGCTCAAAATCCGAACCTCGACCCAGCGGCCTAGGAGGAGGACGGGGGGGGAGGAGGAGGAGGAGGAGGAGGAGGAGGAGGAGGAGGAGGAGGAGGAGGAGGAGGAGGAGGAGGAGGAGGAGGAGGAGGAGGAGGAGGAGGACGGGTCGCCTAAGCCCTTCGGAGAAACCCTCCACCTTGCGGGCGCGAGCTTCGCGTAACGTGCCACAAATTCTGGCGTCAGAGGCGCGCATCTGGCGCAATTTCCAGATTATGCCGGCCTCGGGAGCGTGCGTTTGGCGCAATTTACACGCCAATCTGGTCTGGTCTCGGGAGAGCGAGCCCGACGTAATTTCAAAAGGGACTCTCTGGTCAAGAGTGCGAATCTTGCTGGTATGCAAACAAGGCTATCTCATTGCCCTGCGAGCCCGAATCGTGGGCAATTTGCAACGGATTCTGACTTCGGGAGCGCGAGCCTGGCATAATTGTTCTACGATTCTGACCTGGGGAACGCGAATCGAACGCAACCTCGGGGACACGAGCCTGGTTTAAAATGCAAGATAATTCCGGATGCGGGAACGCCGAAATTTTGATATACAGTAGCACGCGAAGGAGACAAAAAGAGAGAGAGAGAGAGAGAGAGAGAGAGCGAGAGAGACAGATCCTGCTCCTCCTCCTCGTGCTTTTTCTCCTCCTCCTCCTTTCCCTCCTCCTGCTCCTCCTCTTCCTCCTCCTCCTCCTCCTCCTCCTTTTCCTCCTCCTTTTCCTCCTCCTTTTCCTCCTCCTTTTCCTCCTCCTCCTCCTCCTCCGCATCCTGCAGGATGCTGGCGGACTCCTGGAGATTCTGGGAGGATCGCCTGCGTGACCGCTGCGATCCCCGACGGTTCCAAGGGCGATCCATGGATCATCGATGCCCAACGGCTCATCGATTCCCAGCGCTTCCTAAAATTCATCGGATCATAACCGCTGCGATCCCCTAGATGTTCATCGGTTCCCAAGCACTGCGGTGACACTCGCTGCGATCCCTGGATCATCGATGCCCAACGGTTCCTCGGTTCCCGATCGCTGCGATCCCCAAGGGTACATCGAGTTCCATCGATTCCAAAGGTGATCCCAGGGGGCGAGCGGTGCAACAGACCCCTCAAGACTCCGACAGAATCTTAGCGGGTGGTGTTTTCATGATGACGAGCACGCGGATGAAGATCTGGCGGGGTCGTTTCTTCTGGCCGGGGTCGCTTCTGATTCGCGGGGTCGTATCTGCGGAGTCGTTTTTATTTGGCGGCAAAACAATGCAGAGTACAACTCTGAGTCGTGAGTGCATACGCTTCGCAGGCTCGCAGGTATCCGGTCTTACGGAACGCAGACTACTGGGCGACAAAAACCCAACGCATGCCATCCAAAATCGCACAACGTTCGGGGGCGAGGATGGGGGCGAACAGCCCAGGGGGAGCACTACATGTATCCAGGGGCGCCGATGATCCTTGTCTTCGGCGAAACTCCCGGGCGAATGCATGTAATGCCTGCCCCTGGGCTATTCGCCCTTGTCGTCGCCACCGAGGGGTGCGCGAGCGCGGAATGGTGGGGCGCGTGGTATCCGCCGCCGTGCCGCGAAGCACTGACCGGATCGTCCTCAAGTCCATTCGAAGCCGGTACGTATGAGGCCGATACGTATACGTACAAATCTGTAGACCTAATCTCTACTTATAAATACATGTATGAAAAAGAGAGAGAGAGAGAGAGAGAGAGAGACATATAGGGAAACAAATCTATACATATAAAGAGAACAAGGACGACAACAACCTGCATGATGAAACACAACATAAGCAACAAACGAGACAGAGAGAGAGAGAGGAAACGCAACAAAACAGACAGACACACACACACACACACACACACACGCGCACATGTTTGCGTCGGCGGCACGGCAGAGTAACTGCGCCGGCGGAAGAGCTAACTAAACGGAGGCACCGTTGTAGCGAATCGTGCCAATGCCAGAAAGAAAAAAGTGGTGGGCGGGCGGCCGAAACGGGGGGGGGTGGAAGGCGAGGGCCGATCAGGGGGACGGGCCACGCCCCGAAAGAGTGGCGCGGTCGGCCCCGCCGGCAGGGACAGCGGCGGCCGCTGCGCGGGGGGTCCAGCGGCGGCGGGGCGCGCTGCAGGTGCCAGAACGAGTCTGGCAGGGTAAGGGTGCGATGCAATCACGGGCCTGGGTCACAAGGCGGTGGCTGCCATTCCCCAGGTGGGGGCGCGGATGGGGCGCGCCCAGCGGGATGCTGGGAGGGCGGAGGCGGCGGGCAGCAAGACCAAGCCTGGGGCCCCAGCGCGGCGGCTGCAGGCAGCCACCCAGCGCCATGGCGGCGCGCGGAGGGAGGGAGTGCGAGCGGGGAGGGCAGAAGCGAACAAGGAGGAGGACGCCCCGCCTGCAGGAAACTCACAGGTGGGGCGGCGGCGCTGGGCCGCAGCGGCGGCGGGCTGCGCCGCGCAATGCGCTGAGGGCAAACTGGGGAGGGGTGGTGCGCCGCCCTCAAGCCGGCGGGCGGCTCGCGGGGGGCCCCCGTTGCCCGGGTGGATAGGGTGGGCCGGCCCGCGAGCGGGGCGGCCGGGAGCTGGCGACAGGCGGCGGCGAGGGGTGCGACGGAAGGGAAGCACCTAACCGGTGCGCGGCGATGACATGCAGGGCGCCCCGTATCCGGGTGGACAGGGTGGGCCGTTGCGGGGGGCAAGGGCGGCCGCCGCCGGACAGCAGCGGGCGCGCCTCGATCGGCCAGTCGAGACTGCGGCCGGAGCCAGCGCCCTCAGCCCAAGCGGGCAAAGAGGGCAAGCAAGGGGGGGCACCTAGTTACCTGGCGCGCGGCGATGACAGCGCAAGAGGCGGCCCCCCTGCCCGGGTGGACAGGGTGGGCCGTTGCGGGGGGGGAAGGTCGTCCACCGCCGTCGAGGTGGACAGCCGCGGGCGCGCCTTGGCCGGTCAAAACTGCGGCCGGAGACAGCGCCCTCAGCCCGAGCGGGCAAGCAAGGGGAGCAAGGGCCATGCGCCGGGCCGGTGCTAGGCAGGATAGGCACCTCGCGGAGGCGGCGGGCGGCCCGATGGCCAGCGCGCCGCTGGGCGGCTAGGGGGGGGGCGAGGGGGAGCCGGCCCGCGAAGGCGAGGGCGGGGCGCGCCAGGCGGCCGTTGGGCGGGACTTTGACGTCCGCCAGCTCTGCAGGAAGCGGGGCACCTAGATTGATTGGAGCGCTGCCTGGGCACCGCACGCGCGGCGCATCGAGCAGCTGCATTCCGACAAGGGCGAAGGCATTGGCAAGGGCCAGGGCCCGACAGGGACAGGCGAACGACGCGCCAACCCCGCCCAACCTAATGACTGCCCGCCACCCGCACACCGCGCCCCCGACGCGCTCCCTGGACCGCCGCTGGAGCGGGCCCCCCCGCCATCGGCACTAGCCCCGCCTGGGCCGGCGACATTTATTCTGGGCCGCTGCGCCCTCCATGGCTGAGGGCCACAGGCTCCGGCCGAAGTTTCGACTGGCCTCGGAGCGCACCTCGGCGTCCACCCAGGCGCGAAGGGCTGGCTGCCTTGGCACCCTGGCGGCCCACCCTGTCCACCCAGGCAAGGGGGCTGCCTTCCCGATTCCACCTGCGCCCCCAGGAGCGCACAGTCGTGAGCAGTCGGGCGACGAGTCGCAAGTGATAGGCCTCCGATCACACTCCGCGGCAAGTAAAACCCGCGCGGCAAGCAGCCCCGCACCCCCTTCGCGCGCCTTCGCGCCAGGGCGAAAGACTTCGGCGCCCCCAGACAGGCGAGGGCAAGCGACGCATTAAACATACCAGCCCAGCCGCAACCCCACAGGCACCGCCTGCCCAACGGCCGCGTAGCGCGCCCCGCGCACACCTTCACGGGCACTCCTGCTACCGGTCCGCCCCGCGCCTGCTGCGGCGCTACTGCACTCCTTCTGGGATCCCGTTGCTGGGGACGGTGGTGCCGCATACGCGCGTGAGGAAGCCTTTGCAGTCCTCCTCCGTCCAGGCCCCTGGGTCCCGAGGGGTGGCCTGTTGGGAGGGCGAGCGCTGGCTCTGTAGGGAGTCTGTCCACTCCCGCCAGGCCTCGTCGACGCTGCGGTGCAGGGCTCGGGCGTAATGGACCATAACGTGCGCGATGGTATTGTCAGCCTCCCCTTTATTTGCGGTCTGGGCGGATCGCCGCGACGGCCTCCAGGGAATCGGCACTCCTGTTGACGAGGCCTGGGCACGGGGGTGGCGCAAGGTCTGGGAGGTCGGCCAGGATGCCCACGGCCGCGTGGCGGGCAATCCGGGTCGGGGCGACGTCCTCGCGCAGAGAGGGGCCCCAACTGTGGGGCGGGGCGGAGGGGCCTACCCCTCCGCTTGGGATGTGGGCAAGTTTCGCATGACGGGTTGGATCTGGCCCACGAGGTGGTGGCTGCCGGCAGTGCGGTGGCGAGGTGCCACTCGAGGTGCTGCTCGAAGTGCACGGGCTGCGGCTGCCCCGGCTGCTGTGGCGCTCCCTTCGACTGGTGCCGGGCTCGGGACGGGCGGGGGACCTGCTGCAACTGCGTGGGCCGCTGCGGGCTGCGGGTGCGTCTGCGAAAGGGGACTGCTGGGCCGGCGCTTGCGCTGTCCGTGAGAACGTGCTGCTGGGCTGCGGTCACTTCCGTGCGGAGGAGGAGGAGGAGGAGGAGGAGGAGGAGGAGGAGGAGGAGGAGGAGGAGAAGGAGGAAGAGGAGGAGGAGGAGGAGGAGGAGGAGGAGAAGGAGGAAGAGGAGGAGGAGGAGGAGAGGAGGAGGCGGGGGAGGAGGAGGGGGAGGAGGAGGAGGAGGAGG